GAATAGACAATAACTCTCTCTCTCTCTCTCTCTCTCTCTCTCTCTCTCTGTCTCTGTCTCTCTCTCTCTCTCTCTCTGACTTTCCATGAGGGATGAATGAGAGTCCATGCGGAATGGAACTCAGTAAGGTCTCAGAGCCCTCTTCCACTCTGAAAAAAAATGGCCACTGCTTGAATTATGCAGCTAGAACACTTAGACCAGGCTAGAGCCATGTCTGGATGCCTCTGCTGTTCTGATGGGAGATTGGCCACTTGGAGGGCCCTGAGGCATGGATGCACTGGTCACCTCAACTCACTGTAGGGACCTGTTGGTTCTGATCCCTATTAGTGTTCCAACAGGGCAGCGCAAGCTTTGGCTGCCTTCAGGCCCCATGACAGAATATTGGGCTGTCCCTAAGCCCAATAAGTGCACTCTTGCTCACGAGGCCTGCAGTTTTCTGATTGCCACCTTGGAAAGTACTGGACCAGATAGATGAGTTTACTATAGTTCCTTATTGGTTTTTACTGGTCATTGTTTCATTTAGGAGCTTTTAAAATCTTTGCTCTGGTGTTTGTCAAAGGGTATTGGATTTGATTAGGACTCTTCATGTCACCATCTTAACCAGAAGTTTTCTGACTACTTTCTCTACGGTGACAATGAAATAGATATCACGATCTTATATTGAGACTCAAGAAATAATAATAATAATAATGACAGCTAATAGTTATATAGTACTCTAAGGCCTGCAAAGTGTTTATCTCAATTTATCTTCACAACAATCATGGGAAGTGATATTATTTTAGACTGAAAGATGACTGAAAAGTTGCCTGGGTACATAGTAGGTACTTAATAAATGCTTGTTGACTGACTGAGGATGGGAAGGTGATTTCATGTCAGTCCTCACAACCAAACAAGTCTAACCAAGATACTGGTGACAGACCCTCCCTCATCATTAGCTGACTTGTGATTTATTGTTCAGCCTTTGTGGTGTGTATTTCTCTTTAGAGCGCCAATCTGCTAGACCTCTCAAAGATGGAAATTAATTTTCCCTTCCCTTCATGCTCTAACAGGCTTTGCTCTCCGGATCTCAATCACCATTAGCTCTATCCCTCCGGACATGATTTAACAATGCCGTTGGACAATGTTTACAATGAAAGAACACTAACATCTTCTCCATTTAAAAAGAAAATAAAGCTAGAAAATACTTAGTTTTTATTTCACAACAAAGGCCCCTGATTTTTTTTCTTTAAGAAAACAAACAATTCATTTTAACTCTACATTAAATGTTTATTTAATCTTTAAGAGAACATAATGCTATAGGAGGAGTCTTCTTGGAAATAGCAGTTGAAGGAAAAGCTTAGTGCTTCGACCGCCATGTTTTCCTTGCTCCTGAGGTTAGGGTGATGGGAAAAAGTTCAAATACCACCTGTCTGAGCTGTGGACATGTCCCCAGATGACTAACAACACCTTGCAAAGAACAGTGTGACTTGGCAGCTAAAACACAAAAGAGAATTGAGGTCTTTGGCTACATCTTCCTACTCAATCCACTCCAGTGAGTCCCCATTACTTCCCGGATTAAAATATAAAATACTGTTTGTCTTTTATAAGCTTGTCTTTATAACTTTTCTAGCCCTTCAGAAAATGGTCCCTTTGTTTCCGGTCTTCTTACACCTTCCTCATCTCCAACTGCTTGTCCATCCAGTGACACAAGACCCTCCATCTCCAGACTCCATACGTTTCCATGGGCTGACTCCCCATCGTGCCTGGAACTCTCTTCCTCCTCATCTGTGTCTCCAGGCTTCCTTGCCTTCCTTCACTCTCAGCTAGTCAGCAGACAAGCACTTATTAAGTCCCTAGTATATGCCAGGCACTCTGCTAGGGCTGAGGATACAAAGAAAGGCAAAAGACAATCTCTGCACTCAAGGAGCTTACAATCAACCCCTTTACAGAAAGTTTGGCTTAATGAAAAGAGTACTTGCCTCAGGTATGGGACCCCGGGGTTCTAGTCCTGGCTGTTTACTTAATTAGGAGAACAACCAAAAGAGTGCTGACTCTGGAGTCCAAGAACCTGGGTTCAAATCCTGCCTTTTTGGCTTACTATCTGTGTGCCTCTGTGCAATGTCACCTCCCTGAGCCTCAGTTTCTCCATCTAAAATGAGTGGTTTGGACAAAATGGCCCCAGCTCCTTTTCATCTCAAGTCCTATGATCCTTTATAGTCACTCCTCTGGGCATCAGTTTCCTCAGCAGTAAAATGAGATAATTGGATGATCTCTGGAATCCTTTCCAGTTCTAAAATCTGTACCCATGAAGACAACTATTGGATGATCCTTAGACACCTCAGCCACCTTGGCTCTCGGGGAGTTAGTGAAAAAAAATTCCCTGAGCTCTATTTATTTATTTATTTTTTGCTTTATGGTGAGGCCATGGGGGTTAAGTGACTTGCCCAGGGTCATACAGCTAATAAGTGTTAAGTGTCTGAGGCTGGATTGAACTCAGGTCCTCCTGGCTCCAAGACCAGAGCTCTATAAACTGCGCCTCCTAGCTGCCCCCCTGAGCTCTATTTACAGGAGTCTCTGAAGTAGCCTCCGTGAACCGTTAGCTACACTTAGACATAACCTCTGGATATGTGGGTCTTCAGCATACACATATTAAATCAGACTACCATATTTCCTGGAGAGAAAGTATATTTAAAATAAGCCTTCTTTTTTTATACTCAAATAAGCCCAAAGGATGATGCTACCTGGCTCAATTCATATGACTGAAATGGAAGGAGCTTCGAAATCAGCATGATCTGAAAAGCCACAATTAATCTAGAGTCCGACTGTCCAAAAGCCTCGCTGACTATAAAAATAATGTTTGTTCAGCGCTGTTCCTTCACCTTGGGGTTATGTAACTATTACTCGTTGCATGCTGATTGCATTTCAACAAACATTAAACTAGGGCTTCTCTGTGCAAGGCACTATGCTATGTGTGAGGAACAAAAAGAAATGAAAAAACGACAATATTGAACTTAAAGAATGGGGGGAGAGCTGAGCTGAACTGCACACAAATCACTTCGACGCAAAGGAGACCCAGGGCAAAAGGAGAAGAAGCAGGTCCTGAAGAGAGAGAAAGATGGTTATGGGAGGAGAATGGATGCTAATGGGAAACAACTGAGGTTGGTGGTCCCTTCCCTCACATTGCCCCCAGCTCCACAGGCAACCATGTGACTCATATATTCGATGACCCAAGGCCCTCAAGCCACTCAGGACTCAAAATTCTAAAGAATCTGAGACAAAGAGCAGATGAGCTCTAACAGGAGACTGTCCCATGGGGTGAGGCAAGGCAGTGGGGTAGTCTGGACCTTGGAAATCAGGGTGTTTTCTGAGATAACTAATCTGGAATGACGAACAGAGACTCAGTAAACTTAACTACGAGCCACAATAAGTTGAGCACCTGGGGAAGGGAGCAGGTCTCAGGGGAGTTAAGCCTCAGTATACAAACATCTTGGAAACTGGGGCATTACTAGTGAAACTGGTTTTCATTGACTTGAAGCAGAGATACTGGCAAAATTCTCTAATAAAATTTGAGGGAAGACCAAATAAAGGAAGGGATATTTTGTATGGCTAAGGAGTATCAGGGAAGGTATCATGAAAGAGGTGGCCTCTGAGCTGGACCTTGAAAGAAGAAAAGACTTATAACGCAGAGATGAGGAAGGAGTCCATCACCCTTGTCAGCCCCCAAGCATGGCGGCTGATTCGTTCAAATATTCAGATTCAGAAGAGTAGCAGGCAAGACTGGAGAAGTTAGTGGCTCATTTTGATTGGAACAGCATTTGTGAATGTAAGTCGCATAAAATAAGACTGGAAATGTGGGTTAGGGACAGATTGTGGAGAACCAGGCTAGGAAACATTGCGTTTATCTTATTGGGCAATAGGGAACCAATGACATTTTCTGAATAGAAGCATACTACATTGGGACAGACACATTTTCTATAAAGGTTGGAACACAGACAGAGGAGACATTGGAGGCAGGGAGACCAGCAAAAAGGCTTTTACAATAATTTGGGGTGAGAAGTGACAAGAACATGAATGTGGGTGATAGCAGCCTGAGTGAGAAGGAGAGAAAGGAAATAGTATCAAGAGGAATTGGCTGAAATAAGGGAATTTGCTTTGCTTGAATTGCTTTCTCAACAGAGGAAGGGGAGAGGGAAAGGATGTTCACTTGAAAATAAAATAAAATTGAATTAAAAATAAAACAATCAGAAAAAGAATCAATGGCACTTAATAACCTATTATATGGAGGGGAGGGGGAAGGGAGAACGAAAGAGTCAAAGGTGACCAAAGGTGTGCTGGTAAATGCTTAACAACCAGTTCTTTGAAAACCAATACCCATTTTTAAGATTAATCTGAACCATTAACATTTTTTCCATCACTTTCTCAAATGTAAACCAGAGGAATCCACTTTATTTACAAACGATTCTTAGCTCCTCCGTGAGTACAAAAACCAGGGGCTGCAGGATTTGGCCACAGGGCCGTAGTTTGACCCTTGATCTGGCAAATCAACAAAACAATAAATTAAGCCTTCATGTGTATCTTTGACCTTTTCCGAAGTATTACTGTTGACACTGAAAATGTAATACTCTGTTCTAGTTGGTCCCAGCCAACCTTGGCTCAGGTAACCCCAAATGGACTGGAAGGATGGAGAGAGATAAAGAGATGAGTCATGATGAGGATGGCAAGCAGGTTCTGGGGGAATGAGACAAATGGGTAGCAGATGGAAGGAGAGAAGAATGTAAATTCTACCTAGCACAAATGAGTTGTGCAAATTCAACTGGGGGAAAACGAGATTAATCCTAAAGGAAATTAATTATAATTTAAAATAGAAACAGCAAATTTTCTAATTGGAAGAAATTTCTTAATGTGAAATAAAAAATTACACAGAATTTTAAAATGCGCTTTATTTTGCAAAAAGGGACTCCTCCAGGTAGTTACTGCCCAGGGCTCTGCTGTCTTAGCCATCAAGACATCAGTTCACTTACTTTCTTTGAAGTCGGACAACTGGGTCAGCCAGGAGGTCGGTGAGATCTAGCTTCCTCCCTTTCTCGATGACATCTCGGTGTTTCCGAACAAATAACCATCCAATATGGGAAAAGAAAAAGCCCCGCTGTGCATTGTGGGGGTCAGCATCCGTTTCTGAGTATTTGTGATGCACTCGATGGTCCCGCGACCACTCAAAGATGTCATTCTGCAAAGAGAGAAAGGGCACATTGAGGAAAGAGAAAGAATCCCCAGGTCTCCTTCTCCCACGTTCTTTGCTTCATCCCCTATCTCATTCTCCTTATTTCCTCTCATTCCCTACCACACACCCCAGCCTTAGCGTATTTTTGTGGGTGTTCATGGAAACCCAGAGCCACAACTAGCACTCTTTCCACCTGAGGCAAGGGCCAGGGACATACTCACCGGAGGGAGGGGCAGGGTGTGTGACAGGAGCCAGCTCTAAGCAGCTGGAAAGAGTCAAATGTTACATTTTCAATGTGAGTATTCACATCTCGAAAATCAGCAAACATAAATCAAGAAGTTGTTGGTTTTCTAGACTTGAGAAAATGTTGATAGTGTAGATTAAATTTGAAAGCGTGTTGTGCGAACTGTTTTTGTTTTGTTTTGTTTCTAAGAGAAGATTGTTAAACATTTACCAGCATACCTTTAGGTGCAGGTGAGGGGCAACATGCAGAAAGCCTAGGAAACCCTGGGGTTTCTGCCCTTCTGAAAATGTGTGTCCTAATGGGAAGGGTGGTGTCCCTTGCAAGGGGGTAGAGAAAGAAGACAGCCACGCTGTCATGGGCAGGTTCAGCAAGGAAGAAAGCCCTTCTTCCTCTGAGAGAAGCTGCTGTCTGTGCCTTCTACGTGGTCCACCCTGGTATAAAGCCAGTTGCTTCAACTTAGTTCCACCTAGAACTTTTAGGAAAGGTAAGTTGGGTTAAGAACCAGTGGATTTTATAAAAGAATAATGTAGACATAATTAACAAGGAAAATAATAATAGCAATAATCTCTTACATCATAATTAATACCTAGTATTCTTTTTAGCTGGGAGCTGCCTGTCTTGCCCAGGCTAGAAGCAGGACAGCGGCTCAGGGGCCCTATCCCAATGGCTTTAACCTGCTCCATTTTTGTGCCGTGGGCTCGTTCACACCTCTGCTCCTGAGAGCTCACCAAACTCGCTCCGACTAAACAAACAGCTTTCACTGCAGCTCAGAACTCCCAAACTCAAGGCATCCACCTCCCCAGCAGTGGTGAATGAAGGCATGAGCCACCACACCTTGGCTAGAACTTTCTCGGTAATTTTCTCATAGAAACTTGTCATTATCCAATATCTATTGGTTTGATTCTACTATTGCAAAAGAAGTAAACTGCTCATTTACAAGGCATCTTTCATACCTCTGATCAAAATTGATCGATAAACATTTACTAAACACCTACTGTATTCCAGGCACTATACTTGGGGCTAAAGATACCCCAAAAAGGGGAGGGGGATCTTGGATTCTAAATGGATAAACAGCATGCATATGTAAACTATGTACAAAGGAAATATATTAATGCAAGTTTGGTTCGTTGTTCTTTGTACTCGAAAAGGACCAAAATGACATCACTATGTTGGAATCAACGCACAGTGTGTCCAGCTGTGGCTGATCAGACCAATATAATCTCAGAATGCTCTACCACAGGTTGGGCATAAATAGTCCATATAAATCTTTGGAGTGGAGATGGCTTAAATTTGCACATCTCACATTTCTTTTGAGCTACTGAAATTCTGCTTCGCTCATAGAGCACAGAACCTTCTTTAAGGCGGGCACTCTATGCTGAGTGGTCTTTTGCCAGTGTCTTCCATATCTCACAGTTGATAAAAAAGTTCTTCAGAAAGACCTTGAGTGTCCTTATATTGCTTCTTCTGACCTCTGTGTGAGCACTTGCCTTGTGTGAGTTCTCCATAAAATAGTCTTTTAGGCAAACATACTTTTGGCATTTGAACAACATGGCCAGCCCATTGGAGGTGCGCTCTCTGCAGTAGAATTTGAATGCTTGCCAGTTCAGCTCCAGAAAGGACTTCAGTGTCTGGTACCTTATCTTGCCAGGTGATCTTCAGAATCTTCCTAAGACAATTCAAATGGAATCAATTCAGTTTCCTGTCACGGCACTGGTAGACCGTCCAAGTTTCATAGGCATACAACAATGAGGTCAGTAGAACGGCTCTATAGACCTTCAGTTTGGTAGAAAGCTTAAAACCTCTTTTCTCCCACACTTTCTTTTGGCCAAACACTGAGCTAGTTCTGGCAATGCATGAGTCAATCTTGTCATACATCCCTGGAAAGTATACTTCCAACATAAGTAAACTTATTCACAGCATTCAAGATTTCTCCATTGGCTGTAACCTGTTTCAACATATGGATGGTGAGGTGCTAGCTGATGGAGAATCTCTATTTTCTTGGTGTTAATCATCAGGCCAAAATTAGCACAAGTGGCAAAGAATCAATCCAAATTCTGTTGCATTTCAGCCTCAAGGGCTGCACTGAGTGCACAATCAGCTGCAAACAAAAAGTTGTGCACCAACTATCCTCCCACTTTACTCTTGGCTTGTAGCCTTTTCAAGTTAAATAATTTACCATTAATCTGGTAGCTGACCTTGATGCTGTCTTCCTTGTTGAAGGCATCTAACAACATCTCTGAAAACATCATGTTAAAAAGTATGAGATCAAGCACACAGCCCTGCTTTATTTCATTGTTGACTGGGAAAGTTCAAGAGCATCGTCCATTATCCAGAACCCGTGCAAACATGCTGTCATAGATGTTGGTTATTCTTTTCAGTTGTGTCTGACTCTACATGACTCCATTTGGGGTTTTCCTGGCAAAGGTATTGGAGTGGCTTGCCATTTCCTTCTCCAGTTCATTTTACAGATGAAGAAACTGAGGCAAACAGGGTTAAGTGACTTGTCCAAGGTCACACAGCTAGAAAGTGTCTGAGGCCAGATTTGAACTCGTGAAGATGAGTCTTCCTGATTCTAGGTCCAGGTCCTCTGTCCACTGTGCCACCTAGCTGCCCATGCCATCATGGAACTGCTATACAATACTGATGAACTTCTCTGGGCAACCAAATTTTGCTATAATCTTCCAGAAAGCCTCATGACTGACCTTGGTCAGGTCAATGAAAATTGTATACAGACTTCTGTTCTGCTTCTAGCATTTCTCCTGGAGTTGTCAGGCAGCAAACACCATATTGACCATTCCCCAGCCCTTTCTGAAGCTACACTGGCTCTCAGGTAGATGACCATCTTCCAAGTGAAAGATCAGCCAGTTAAGGAGGACACTGGCAAGAATCTTGCCAGCAATGACTAAGACAAAGACCCCTCAGTGATTGTTACAGGACAGCCTACTTTGGCAGAGGTAGCATTAGCAGCTAGAGTGAGGGAGACCTTGGACTTCTAATAAAGAAGAACTGAGCTTTAAAGGAAATTAGGAATTCTAAGAAGTAGAAATGAGGAGGGAATATGTTCCAGACGTGGAATGGAGGGAGAACGTTCCTTTGCCTGTCAAAGGCAGGGAGATGAAGTGTGTCATGTGAGGAACAAGAAGGTTGGCATTGCCAGATCATTTGTAGAGTGCATGAAGGGGGTAAAGTATAAAAGGTAGAAAGGGGCAAGGTTGGTAAGACAAGCTTCTTTTCCACCTTTGTACATTTTGCTGTTTGTACTTCAATTAGGAAAAGAGGGATGAAAATGTTTCTGGTCCTCTGAGGTGCTCCATGTAGAAGGTCTATAGAAGGGCAGCTGAGATGGTACAAGGCTCATCATTTAACAGACAGGGAAACTGAGACTGAGAAAGATTAAGTGATTCGCCTGGGGTCATAAATGTCTAAGGTCAGATTTGCACTTGAGTCTTTCTGACTGCAAGCTATCTAGAAAAAAAGCAACAGAAAATAGAAATGATCTTCCAATAAGCTACAGAAGTCTGTGATGAGTTTCACAGCCAGGATTACGTCTTTCTCTCATCCTCCATCCACTTGCTTCCCATTCAGTCTGAAGTGACTTGCCAAAGAAACATGTTAGGTTCCTGGGTCCCCCATCTTGTTAGCTGTCCTCTTGAAAATCAGTGGAGAAGGAGCTTCTGACTGTCATTCTCTTAAAAACTGCCACAGCCATGGTTTCTAGTCCATTCCTGCCACACATTGTTTTTTCTCCTCTTGCTTTCCTATCCTCCCACTAATCTATTCATGTGTCAGTGGTACCTGCCTCACTGTATCCCTTCGGGTGGCGTCCAAATCTTGGATGAAAATCTCCCTCAGACCATGACTATCTTTTGCCTCTTTTTGTATCCCCAGTGCTTAGTAGAGTGCCTGGCACATAGTGGGCACTTAATAAAGGCTTATGGATTCTCAGAACACTTCCAAACAGTCTAGTCCCAGGATTTCCTATTATCTTTGGAAGGTAAGTCTAGCTAGCCCAAGACCTCTTTGATCCTCAGCAAAGTCTCTCAGTTTCTGTGGGAGTTTTGATAAGGTAGAATTTCAAGAGTACAAACTATCATACTTAGTATAATAGTATGGTACAAATAGTATGAACATTGTACTATAATAGGAATATATCATTAATATAACAAGATGAATGTTATACACAGAATATGAATATAATACTATTCATTAAAATATGACTAAATAGTATGAGCATTATACATATAATAGGAATATTATATTATTCATTATAGTATGAATAAAAAGTATAAATATAATATATGCCATTTATAAATGGTAAGGTAGGAGAGGTAGAATCTTAAATATTAGCCAGAAAAAAATTAGTAGTCCCAAAGCCTAAAAGAAACCAGGGAATTTAGGGCAGAGCAAATTTTTTCATTAAAATGGAAAATATGGCTCATAACCTGGGGAATGTCTTTCTGGCTCTGACTGGTAATTATCACACCAATATTGTGTCCAGAGGCTAAGAAAGAGCTGGGGACAAGGTTGCAGGCTTATTACATTAAAAAAAAAAACTATCTATAAAGCTGGTTTATGGTCACCACAAAGGCATATTCAGTTTTACTTGAGGGTCAGGGCTCAGTCTGCAGTCAATTTAGGAGGTTCCTTTTCTGTTTTATCATAGACAGAGCTAGGATGGGGTGAACAGGGCTTTGCCTCAAGTCATAGACATGGAAAGAGCCACCTGTCCATTGCTATATGTCAAAATTCCATTCAATTGACCAGGCTCAGGATGTGACCTCCAGATGTTGTCACACTGGCATTCTCTAAGGACCTATCTCCTCACTCTAGTGCACCCCTTGAGGGATGGAGCCTAAACTCACTGAGGGATAATTCTCCCCCTCCATTCATGGTACAAACGTACTGATGGTCAAATTATTCTTTTCTCTAGTACCACCAGAGCCAACTTTAACTCACTCACAAATGTTTTTGCTAAGGATGAAAGAATTCCTGGTTTTGACCTTGATCAGGAAGGTCTAGTGGGGTAATAATACTATTTTACCTCTGGATCTAAGATATTGGGGCAGTTTTCCTCTATAATTTCTTGAAATATGATGCTTAGGCTCTTTTTTTGATCATGGCTTTCAAGTAATCCAATAAATCTTAAATTATCTCTCCACCTGTTTTCCAGTTGTTTTTCCAATGAGATATTTCACATTTTCTTCTATTTTCATTCTTTTGACTTTTTATTGTTTATTGAAGTCTCATGGAGTCATTAAACTTTCACTTGCCTAATTCCAATTTTTAAGGAATTATTTTTTTTCCATGAGCTCTTTACCTCTTTTTCAATTTGGCCAATTCTGTTTTTTAAGTTATTATTTTCTTCAGTATTTTTTTGTTCTTCTTTTACCAAGCTGTGAATTCTCTTTTCATAATTTTCTTACATCACTATCATTTCTTTTCCCAGTTTTTCCTCTATCACTCTTTCTTAAACTCTTCCAGGAATTCTTGTTAGGTTTTGGTCCTAAAAATCAGCATTTTTCTTTGAGGTTTTTGTGGTACCTCTTTTCATGTTGTTGTCTTCGTCTAAGTTTATGTCTTGGTTTTCCTTGCCACAGTAGTAGTTTTTTGTAGTCAGGTTCTTTTTTTTTTATTGTTGTTTGCTCATTTTTCCAGCCTGTTCCTTGACTTTTAACTTTATATTAAAGTTGGTCTCTGCTTACCTTGAGGCACTGTGCCAAGCTTCAGCCTTTTTCATTCTGCTGTTCTCACAGCTAGTTCTGGGTGTCTGCAAGTTTGTTGAGAGAGTTCAGCTGGATCCCCACTTATACTTTGCCATCTTGTCTTTACCTTTCAACATGTGGCTTTATCCTTCCTTATTGGTTTTCCAATAACTTGCTCGGGAATGGATGACTGCCTCAGAAAAGACATGGCAGTGTCCAGAAATTTTTCTGTCCCTTAAATTGTCCTTTAAGGGCACCGGAATTTCCAAAAGGAAAAGCCTGCCACATGGCCTTGGGACAAAGCTGTTGAGAATCTTCTTTGTACTCTTGATACCTTTCTTTCTAGCCAATGGAATGACAGAAACTTGCCCCAGCATGTCATCTTGAAGGCACAGGTTTTAATGATAAGGTTTCACATATAAATCTTATGAGTCAATGGTATCCTGTCTAGGAAAGGAGCTTCTACCTAATAGCTCACAAAGGAGACCACGTTGCAGGCTCAATTTATTTCTAACTGCCTGCTTCACTTGGAACATGTTTTATTTTGGTCCCAGAGGCCTGTTCTAATCTACTCCAGTTCAGACACCAATATTTTACCATTCACAAGAACATTCTGTGCTTTATTCAATTGTTTATTTTGGTTCAGCCCTGATTTCCCTCCAGATAACACCTGGCACTGACAATCTGTAAGAATGGCCCAGAAAGTCCCCAAACAAGAGCCTGGCAGCATTTTAAGCCTTTTGGAAAACTCTACCCTCAAGAGAACATAATGCCTTGTTGCCTAATATCAGTAAAGCGTGTTGATGATACGGTTTATGTGGTTTGTGGTTACCATGAGGGCATATTCAGTTCTATTTGAGATCTTCTAGTCATCTTTTAATGGAAGATCATCAAGCACAAGTGTTTTGGGAAGTATTGGTTAAGAAAATTTAAGATGCCCAAGTCGGAGATTTTTCATTGGTAGGCAAGTCAATATTCTGAAAATGTCCTGGTTCTGACAAGGGTCAGATTGACAAAATATCAGATTCTCAGGCTATTAGGACAGTGGACAGAATTTCTAAGTATGTTCTAATGGCGCCCTCCTCAACTAGGGAAATATCAATTAAAGTCCAGGTCATTACACAAACAAATAGAAAATTGCTGGATTGCTCTCCGGGGTAGCTCAAGTCTGATATTGATATTATATATTACAGTATAAGCCCTGATCAACTAGTGCCCCCACTGAAGTATATGTTTGAAGAAGCTATCTGATCTTGGTGTTGGAATTGGAGTCAGGAAAACCTGAATTCAAATCCTGCTTTAACCACTCATTTTGTGATCCTGGGCAAGTCAATTAACCTCTTTCGGTCTCAGTTTCTTTATCTGTAAAATGGGGATAATAAAAGCACAATCTCATCAGGTTATTATGAGGATTCAATGAGATAATTTATATAAGATGCTTTGCAAATCTTAAATTATATAAATAATATGTAGATATATTAATGTTGTTAATTATTAATTAAAACAATTAACATAATATAATAATAATTGTATGTTATAAAGTTAACATAGAAATATTACATGAATATCAAAGTATAATAATGTAAATATTATCATGCTATATTGATGATGATGATGCATTTATCAGGAAACTTATTGTAATAGAGTTTCTTTGAGCTTACCTTTAAAATCATAAAAGATAAGGCAATGATAAAAAGAAAAAGTTCCAGAATGGATAAGTGCCAGACTTTTCTAAGGAATGAGGAGAGATTAGATGGAGGAAGAAACTTTTAAGATGATTATTCACATAAAATTGGAGAGGGATTTCAGAAATTTTCAGCAGAACAAAACTGGTCAGCAACCCTCTGCTGCCCCCACTTTCCCTATTCCATTGCCTTTCCCAATCCCCTTAGTATTAGTAATTCCCTCTATTGGTTATTCCTAATTTATCCCATCTATAGCTTGTTTGTATAGTTTGGTTGCACATTGTCTCCTCCATTAGACTATAAGCTCCTTGAGGACAGGGACCTTTGCCTTTCTTTGTGTCCTGGCACTTAGCACAGTGCCTGGCACATAGTAGTTGCTTAATAAATGTTTATTGACTGACTCACTAGCTACTTGGACTGGAAGCTTTGGAATGATTTTTTTTTCCTTTTCCCTCTCCTCCATCCCCTTACATGCAATAAGCCATCAAGTCCTAGAGATTTTTCCTTCAAAATCTTTTTCAGATTTGCTTCTTCCCCTATGTTCTTGTTGTGTGACAGGTGCTAGAGACACATAGACAAAAGCAAAATAATTCCTACCCTCAGGTAACTTAAACTCTACTAGGCATACGACATATGCACAAATAAGTATAGTAGGAAGAAAACTGAAACACTGACAACTGGAGAACGCTTCATGAAAATAATAATAATAACAACAGCTAACATTTATATATCACCTACTACGTGCTAGGAACTGTGCTAAGAACTTTACACATATCATCTCATTTGATTTTCACAACAACCCTTGGAAGTAAGTGCTGTTAGTATCCCCATTTTACATATGGGGAAACTGAGGTAGACAGAGACAGAGACTGTGTGAGGCAGTCACACAGCTAGTAAATGTCTGAGGCCAAATTTGAACTCAGGTCTTCTCCTGACTACAGACCTCTGTGCCACCCAGCTGCCTTTGGATAGCCTGAAAGAAAATAAAAGATTGTGGATAGAGCGCCTAAGTTCATATCTGGCCTCAGACCAAACACTTGACACTTACTAGCTGTGTGACCCTGGGCAAGTCACTTAACCCTAACTGCCTAAAAATTTTTTTAAAAAGTAAAAAATAAAAGATTCTGAGAGATGGAGTGTATTCCAGCTATAGGGAAGGGCTTTGATCAATACACAGAGGCAAGAGATGGAGTATTGAGGGCAAGGAATAGCTAGTCTGGAATACGGTGTCTCTGGAGGGAATAAGGCTAGAAAGGTAAGTGGGAGTCAAATTGTGGAGGACCTTAAATGTCAGGCTAAAGATTATTTTTGTCCTGCAGGCAATTGGGAGCCATTGAAGGTGCCTTGGGAAGTTTATTTTATCAACTGAGGCAAGAATGACTTGGAGAAGGGTGATACTGGAAGCAAAGAGACAAGTTAGATACGATGGTAGAGTGGTTGTATGAGGTAAAGCAGATGTCTAGGACATAGTGGCTTATCATATATAAAGGAATGGAGGTAAGGGAGAAGTTGGAGCAACTAGTCAGTCAATAAACATTTATTAAGCACCTACTATGAGCCAGGCACTATGCTAAGCACTGGAGATACAAAAAAAGACAGAAGACAATCAGTCCTTGCCTTTAAGGAACTCACAGTCTAATGGGAGAGACAACATGCAAGCAATTATGCATGTACAAATAAGTCCCGGTAAGGCTATGTTGTGAAGGCAGAATCCACAAAACTTGGCAACTCATTGTATGGGAGTGGGGGGGAGGGGGCAGGGAGTGCAACAGTTCAACCCCCACCTGGAAAGCCATGGAGTTGGCGGCAGCCAAGAAAATCCTTAAAGGCAGCTTGGCTTTGTAGGATCTGTGGCTCCACAAACGATGCGCACCGGCCGTCACCCCCAGAGCTGTCAGGAGGAAACAGAGGTATGCTGCAAAACACAACAAAGAGGAAATACTTGTAAATCATGAAGAATTTCTAAAAATTTCCTTTTTCCAACTCCACTGAGAAAAGATTCATGAAACTGTCCAGGAGAAAAGAGGTGACTCTCTTTTGATGAAGGGTCAATAACTGGAGAAACTGTAGCCTTCTGTTGATTTGTGGCTCTCTAAAACCTGCACTGGGGGGACAGAAAGAACTTTCCATGGGAAACTCTGACCTTCATACTCCAAACATTTTCTCATGCTTTTCTTTCTCCCCAGTTGAGGCCGTAACAGTCATGTTCAACTTAGCATGAGTTGAAGACTTAGTCATAAAAATCAATTCCTTTTGAGTCCTCTCCTGCCCTTTAACACTCATAAATATGTGTTTTACAGACAGCATAGGTCAGAGTAGCAAAGCAAATAAGGTTGCTTAGCTTGCAAAAAAAAATAAAATTGGCTTTAAATAGTCAGGCTCTATCTATTAGAAAATCAGAACAGCAATAGAAACGACAACAGTCCTGATATTCACAGTTTATAGATGCTCCGTGTTTTGACCCACATTATCACTGAGTATTTTAAAGCAAGGATAAGTGAGACCTTGACTGGGCAAGACAAAGGTTTGGCCTGTCTTTGTTAGAGAAAAGTAGAGTAGGGATTCCTCCGGGTTGGGGATGGGAATGGAGACCATAGGTGCAAAATGATTACTCCTGTAACATGAACAGGGATTATCTGACCTGTAATCAAGCACCTTCACAGGTGCTTGTAATGGTGAACCGACTTTTCAACAATTGACTCAAATCCCTGAATCCAGCCACAAGTTTCTCTGATGGGTGGTTTTCATTTTTGCTTTGTCTATGAGGCGATAGAGAAGAGCCTGGGCATAAAACTTCATTGTGACCAGAGGACTAGCTGGTGGATCCAGTCAACACAAGAAGATCAATCTTTATGCCCTTTCCTCCCACCCTCCACAATACCATTTTGGGTATTTTAAGTTATCTTCATCTCCATGTTTCTCATTTCTGAAAGCTTCCAACATTCTATCCACAAAACACATTTTTGGGGGTTGGGGATAGAAAATGAGCATGGAATTAGGTAGTCTTTCTTTCTGGCCCCCACCCTCATATGATCAGCTCCACTATTTCCCAGCTCTTCCTTCTTGCCTCTCTTTGAGTATGATCTTTTCTCTTTGGCTTCACTCACTGGGGGAAGGTTTTTCCTTTCAAACTTGACTTTGAAGAACACTGGAAAAAGGAGGTACCTGAGGCAGATGCTTCAGATAGGCTAAACCAACTTACAAACTTCATAAAGTGCTGATTCATATCATATCTAAGATACTCCAGATCTGCTTTTGGGAACTATTATGAATCAATAATTTTCTCTCTTTTTTTTTAAGCTAGGAAGGTACCAGCAATTAGAATAAGAATCTTCTCTCTCTCTCTTTTTCTCTCTCTCCCTTTCTCGCTCCTACACCCAGCATTTGAATTATGAAATATATACATCAAAAATGCAACGAGATCTGCAAACATCCGGAATGTCATTTATCCCAGAATACCTTCGCTATATGCCACGGTAGGATCCTTATTTTGTTGAATTCCAAATATTGCAGAGTCTACTTGGGTCTACGCTTACTGGCCTAACTCCTTCTATTTCTGCTTCATCCTTGAGTTCATCTAATGTTGTAGCAACAGACCAGGGTACCCCAGAGGGAGTCCAATGGTGTTGTAATGACCTGGATTGTGGGAAGCTCCAAACTCTTGAGAGACGCCTGAACCTGATGTGAGGCTCTACTATTTTTCCAGCACATTTATAGACTTCAATTTTCCCATCTGTAATGTAATACAGATCACAGCATTTGTCCTTATTATCTTATTGTATTGGAGATCAAAAATGAAACAAGTAATTTGAATGAAATTGTAGTGAAAATGAAGAGTACCAGAGCCTGGGTTTATGATTTCCTTGAGGTAGTATGCAGAGTGTTGGAGTACTCATCTGTCAGTACCTTCCCACAGACAGTTGTGATCATTGATTCCAACAACAGCCGCAACAACCAGGCACAACTACAGGGACATTTGTACTAACACTAGTGTGGCTTAGAGGGGTTGCTCAGGCTGTCTACACAAGCTACAAGGTGAGATCATAGCCCAGAAGCAATATGTTCTCAGCTTCCAAGTCATCCAATGACACTTTAAATTTGTTGGCAATGATTCTCATGGGATCTGTGCCAGTGTCCAAACTCAGCAGTTTTCCCATTATGATCACAATTTTACAAGTCTCCTGTTCAAATTGCTGGTCAATGATGGTGAACAATGAATCTAGGAATGGACACAATGAAGTCATTTTCTCCTGCTTCTATTTTATATCAAAGTAATTCTGAGACTCATGCATCATCAATATGAATGAGTTTTCCCCTCAGAACTTGGGGCAAGGAATATATTGATAAGGAATGATAATTCCTTACAAATACATTCATACTGCCATTGAAAATACATTGAGGCATCTTCTGATTAAGATGGTAAGATGAAAGATCATAGAGGAGCCCAATTCTCCCACATATACTTCAGCAATGATCTAAAAAGAGCACTGGATTGAATAATTATTTAGGCATCTGCAAATTCTACCATCAAGCCCAGTACTACGCAAGAAGACAGCTGGAAACCAAGGACTAAGAGAGGTGCCTTTAGGGAAGTCTGCACAAGAACAGAAAAACAAGCCAGGAGTCCATAGTAGCTCTCTGACTAGGGATAGCTGGGGGGAAGGGTGGAAGATCACAGCAACATCCTGCAATTTCCCTAAGAGACCAAGTGACCCCAGCACTCTAAATGGGCATGCTGAAGCTTTCCCATGCTCTGAGGAGACGCATGGGGTCAAGAATCCAGGAAATTGAGATCAACACCAAATAGGACCTGATCAACCTATTCAAGAGTACAGAGCCTGGGCTTGCCAAAAAGTGCCAAATTAGCTGAGGCCAGATATGACAAGAGAAGGCAGTGATCACTATAAAGAAATACGAAGGGCCAATTTGTTGCCACCACAAGAAAAACTGCTATAAATATTTTTATATATATATATATCCTTTTCCTTTGATCTCTTTGAGATGCAAATCTAGTAGTGGTATTGCTGGGGTAAAAGGGTATGCAAAGTTCTGTAGCCTTTTGGGCATAGTTTCAAATTGTTCTCAAGAACGATTGAACCAGTTCACTACTCCACCAGCAGTTCATTAGTCCTTTTTCTCCTCCAGCATTTGTCATTTTTGATAAGTGTGAGGTGGTACCTCATTGTTTTAATTTGCCTTTCTCTAAGCAATAGTGATTTAGAGCATTTCTTCATATGACTATAGATCACCTTGATTTCTTCTTCTGAAAACTGCTTGTTTATAACCATTGATACATTCTAGTCCCTCTCTTTGTCTTATTTAATTCCCTCTGTGATCCCTGAAGACTATTATTCTTGAGGATCATATCTCTACTTATAATATAATTATAATATATAAATACATAATATATAATGTATTATAATACATAATAATTATAATATAAACATTTCATCATCACTTATTCCCTTTCAATGCTCAAATGTATTTGCACTTTTAGGTTTCACTAGACTTCTGTTTTTACACTTTAGCATTTCTATTCAGCTCTGATCTTTTCATTAGAAATACTTAAAAATCCTCTATTCCATCAGAGATCTACTTTTTTCCCTGGAGGAGGAGAGTCAATATTGTAGGATTTGTTATTATTGGTTGTAAGCATTTATCTTTTGCCTTTTGGAATCGCCATGATTTTCTCTCTTTCGTAGTAGTTGCTCTCACGTATTGTATAATCCAAATACTTCCTTGGTACTCTTTTTCTCTGACTGTTGGTAATATTTTTTTCTTTGACCTGGAAGCTCTTGATTTTGGCCACAACATTGATGGGAATTTGTATTTTGGGGTTTCTTCATAGATTATATTTTTGTTTAGCCCTCTGGTTCTAATAACTATGGGAACTTTTCTTCATGATTTTTTGAAATATGATACGCATCACTTTTTTGGTCATGGTTTTCAGAGAGTCCAGTGATTCTTAAATTATTTCTTCTTGACTTGTTTTCCAGGTCAGTAATTTTTGTTGATAGATATCTTACATTTTCTCCTATTTTTTTCAATCTTTTGATTTTGTTTTTAATATTTCTCATTAACTCATGAAGTCATTGATTTCTGTTTGGCCTTTTTTAATTTTTAGGGAGTCTACCACTTGGATAAGATTAGAAGATGGTTAGAATCTTTTATTCTAAGCTATTTATTCTCTTCCAATTCCAGAGTTCTTATTTTAATTATAATTTATTTTTAATCTCGTGCTCCATTTCTTCCAGGTACTCTTGTAGTGTTTGTGGCCAACCCATTTTTTTTTTCTCTGAGGCTTTGTTTAATTTTTTTTTTTGCAAAGTTACTCTGTTCTTCTGGGATGATTTATGGGGCATCTCTTGGCCCTAAGAATTTCTTTATAGTGATTACTGCCTTCTATTGTCATATCTGGCCTCAGCTCCTAATTTGGTACCTTTTAGCTCTACACTCTTGAATGAGTTGGTCAGGTCCTATTTGATCTTGATCTCAATTTCCAGAACTCTTGATGTCTACTCAGAGCATGGGAAGGCTTCATCAGGCTCAGTTAGAGTGCTGGGGTCACTTGGTGTCTTAGGGACATTCCAAGTCAGGACATTGCTGTGATCTTCCACCCTTCCCCCCAGCTATCCCTAGTCAGAGAGCTTCTATGGACTCCTGGCTTGTTTTTCTGTTCTTGTGCAGACTTCCCTAAAGGCACCTCTCTTAGTCCTTGGTTTCCAGCTGTCTTCTTGTGTAGTACTGGGCTTGATGGCAGAATTTGCTGATGTTTCTTAATAAATATTCAATCCAGTGCTCTTTTTAGATCATTGCTGGAGTAAGTGTGGGAGAATTGGGCTCCTCTATGATCTTTCATCCTACGATCTTAACCAGAAGTTGCCTTAATGTATTTTCAATGGCAGTATGAATATG